AGTCAAGCCTTATTGCCATTTCTTCTGTCTTCAGGGGTACTTCTGCAGGCTTCTTGAAGGACACTCAGAGGTCTTCTTTGAATGTTGGCTGCCTTTTATTCTGTTCTCCGTCAAGATGATCCCACACTGCTTAAATAATGTTGAGGTCAGGGCTCTGGGGAGATCAGTGCACGACTGATACTGTTCCATTGTGTGCTGTTCTATTCAGGTATCATTTTGCTGCATTGCTAGTGTGTTTTTCAGGCCATGATGAAAAATGCATACATTGTCAGTCGTGTGGTTTCCAGCTGGTATTGCATGGTCAATCTAGCGTCATTTTTCTGTGTTTGTAATTCAGTCAGTTTTAACAAGATGCCCAACACCACTGGCAGAATGAAGCACCAAACAATGACAGCACCTTCACTGTGTTTCAGAGACACTCACTGTTGTACCTCTTTCCTGACCTCCTCCATACATATGGATGATGATTTGAACCAGAATTTTAAAATATCAATTCATCACTCTATAAGAACTGTTGCCACTGATTTTCAGTCCAGTTCTTGTGTAATTTGGCATTCATCAGCCTTTTCTGACCATTTCACTTCTTCAAGAATGGCTGCTTGACAGTCAGCCTTCCACTGACACCATTTCTGATGAGGCTCCAGTGAACAGTAAATGGATCAACTAAGGGCCCAGATGCAGGTCCTGTGTAAAGTTGTGTTGTCTCTGTCAATTTTTGTAACTAAAGAAGTGTTTTTGCAACACGCTGATACTAACAAAGGGCCTAAAAATACAATTTAAAGTTGGTTCTTTGATAAGTTGTCTGTTATGTGTGACCACAACGCTGGTTCATCCCTCAAGATTGTCCCTTTTTGAAGTTTGAACAATTCATAGATGGGTGTTAAGTAGCTTAACAAAAAAATACTTAAAAAAACAAAATAATCATTCCTATTGAAATGGTAAAGTACAAGGATGAAAGTGAGTTAGAAGCAGCCAGTGTCCAAAAAGAAAATAAAGTTTGAAAGGCCTACAAAAAAACCCTTGAGAACTACTGCTGAAGACCTCAAATCTGTCTCCTTGGAATACAAAAAAATGAGGGGTGGGTCAGGACTTTCACACAGTACTTCAAATCTGATAGACTGCACTCTACTCATTGAGTTCAATATTTGTATGCATAATTGCTAACAAATAAATAAATAAAGTAGAGCTATGAAGCAGAACATAGTTGATGTCAAGCTGATCCTCAGATTTCCAAAAATGGGCACAGTGTTGATGCTGGATTAATGGTCCCATGCACAATTGAACATGTGGAAAACGGATGTCTGTCATTTTCTGAGTCCGTCTCCCATCCTCTGGTAGAATGCCCTGAAGGTTAAGAAAGCCAGAGCAGATAGAACCTGGACACGCAAAGGGACCAGATGGACCCCCCCCCCTCAGACAAGTGTGTCATGCAGTATGGTTTTCATCAGTCACAGATATCGGCTTAATCCGCAAATATGAACCTTGTCCAAAGTCTGTTTTACAAACAGCAAATTGACAATTATTGATTTTGACTACAGACTTGGTTTTATTTTATAAGCTTTCGATCGGTTTGCTACGATTGGGTTTCATCGGTCTCCCGTTGAATAAAACTGTCTTCACGTCTGTTTTCATAAGAGATGGATTTCTAAGTAGCCTGTTTAGGTCTATAAAATAACAGACATGACATATACAACTACTGAAAAGGAAAGGAATAAAGATTAAAGAAGGCTTTAAGATCAAATCTTATTTCATGAATCGGGGGTATTTTCTGTCTTCAATTATGTTTTCTATTTATATCTACCCCTGATACCTAACATCTAAATAGAAAATCAGCAGCATCCATAAACACGTCTTCTCATGGAATGGAAAATGGAGGCGACTGATATAAGTAGATAAAGAGGACAGCGAATGAAATAGTTCTTCTATACCTCATTTACCAGCAGACCGCTTAGCGAGGCCATTGGCATTTCCGGGGGCAAGAGGGCAAAATGAATGTTCTTCATATCCGATGGTGACTCGTAAAAAAAGGAGGCTGGTGACACAAGCATGCACAAGCACGCAAACATACACGCACATTCTTGTGTGGTCAGTGTGATTTATACCCAGAGCTCTTGAGCAACAGTCATGGGCCGTTGACTCTATGACAGCAGAACAAGAGAGAAATAACTTTAGGGTTGTGGTTATTGAGCAACAAACATTAACACAGAAGAGCAGAATAACAGGAAGCCAGCCTTGACCTCTGGGGTGAGAGGCAGAGGGGAAAAAAAAGAGAACGCAAAGTATGGATGGCTCCCCATCTGGATTTTCAGGAAAACTTTTAGTTTGATGCTGAGCAGACTGAGGAACAGTGAAGATGACGATTTACAAATGATACAGGCCTCCCAAGTCCCTCAATTTGTGCCAAATATGTTCCTAACTTCATGGAATAATGAGACGACTTGTTCCACAATCTAAGAGGGAAAAAAACACCACGTGGAACATAAAAAGATGCATCACTTCCACAGTGCACAAAAGTGATGCGATAACAATGATGTAACTGAGTTTAAATTAAAAGCAGCCTATTTTCATCAGGGATATCTTAGGTCACAGGTAATGTGAGGAGAAAAAAAACATGTGAATTTACCAATTGAATACCCCCCCCCCCCCCCCAAAAAAAAAGAAAAAACACAAAAAACCAGCCCATTAAAGGAGACAAAGAGCTGATTATGTAACATGCTCTTGCTCCCACTATCTTGCCGTTGTTTGTTGCATTCATCCATTTCTGTCCCATTTTTATCACAATCTCTGGCCACTCTCGCCCACCAGCAGTGATGACATTGCCTCAAACAAGGCCGCTGATTAGTGCCACTTCTAAATAAGGCACATCCGGTTAGCTTTCCAATCCTCGTAATGTATCCATTAACCCCTTCCACCCTATTCTCCTGTCTCTGTCTCACTTGCCTCACTCCAGATCTCCTCTGTGATGAATTGTGGCCTGCTAGGTAAACAGACCAAATGCATCATAAAAGCCAGTGGAGCGCAGTGTTATGCAGCATTTGCTTAGTAAATTCGTCGCTTCTGTCATGATACCACGCTCGCTCACTTATGTGCTTCGGTGCCAGCTGCTTTGAGGGTGATTGAGGCATGAATAGTGGATGTTTCGGCATATGTTGCGTATATTCATCACACAATGGATATGCTTATCTTATTTTTGAGTGTAGATCAGTTCTGACTGATTTAATGAAAGCTCATTCCATGTGCAGGTGGGCTAAGGAAGACTCTGTAAGGAGTAAATCCAAACTAGTGACTGTGTCAGCCATGATGTGGCTGTGACTAGTGCCAGAAAACTTCTAGAATAACCCACTTAAACTCTGTCATCTATAGTCAGCGAACGGTGAGCGATGGGCAAGGAAAGCGATCTCTAATTGAGCTGGAAAAAGCCTCTGACCTTTTTTCTTGAGGAAAGAGGAAGTTTGTTGGAGAATATTTTGTCCCTGGCAACTTTATACAGGTTAGAATAAGCATGCGTGCACACATATTCATTCTAGTCTAGCACAATAGATCTCTGGCACACAGACACGCATACACAGTCCAGGTCAAATACCAGGCATTTATACCCACCCTCACCAGTGATCATACACCCTTGGCTGGATTAATTCAGCCTCCCAAGACTTGGATCCTCAGGTTAAACAGCAGTCTTCTAGCAGGGAGCAAAGTGAGCATGGTGATGAATGACCGCAGCCCCGTGTCCTGACACGTCTGATAAACGTGAACCAGCGGATCTGTTTTTAAACAATGTAGTCCTACCCACACATTTAACATCCATTCTCTGCGACCAGGGGAAAGCTTTCAAAATGATTAATAACAAATTTAGCCCTGTTCTGACAAGAAATCTGTAACATTGCTGGGTTTATCTTTCTTTTAAATAATAACATTTTGGCTTTCACACATGAAGGTTTTCTTTTGGTTTTTCTCCTGTTATGTCAAAATATGACAGGATTGTTACAGATGGATTCAAATTCTTGCAATAAGATATGAGACTAGAGAATACAGGGAGTTTCATATTAAGGTTGTGAGCAGTGTTGGTCAAATTACTTGAAAAAAGTAATCAGTAACTAATTACTGATTACTTCCCCAAAAAAGTAATCCCGTTACTTTACTGATTACTTATTTTCAAAAGTAATTAATTACTTAGTTACTTAGTTACTTTTTAAAAACACGATTTACAACCTGAAGAGGTGATAAAGCGATAGATCTTTCAGCCCAATTCTACTTTTTCTACATAATCCATCATACAAAATGTAATCAAATGGAAAAGTCTCTTTTTAAAACTTGTTTTATTAGTTTTAATCTTTTAACTTCATGCATCAAGCAAATTTTTTTTTGTGTTTACACTCACTCTTTCAAATAGATGCAAGTAAAACACAGCAGAAAATAAATAAAATCAAAGACTAGCGGTCCTTTTGCTCTATTTTCACCTGTAAAGCAGGAGTGGGGTAGGCGGAGGTTTACGCTGGTGCAGGTGTGCCGCGGTCAGTTGAAGAATCCGCGAGTTTCTCTGTGAATTTCCTGTTACGTCGTAGCTACTCGGTGCTTGCTTGGAAGTTTAGGGTTTTTTTCCCCCCTGTAACAAGAAGTTTTCTTCCCATGCACAACAGACACTAATGTTTTTGTCACTTTTTATGGAATCAAACTCAAAGTAAGGTCAGTACTTCCACGCTTTAAACGCTGCACGCTCATACTCTCTCCCCTCGATATATGATCCATTGTTGATCTGCACACAGCTGTTGTCACAAATGTCGCACTTGCTTATGTCACTGTCATGAGACATTCTCGCAAAAAATCATGGTTTTAGTAACGCAGCGTTCCTACGGGAAGTAACGGTAATCTAATTACCGTTTTTGCAATAGTTACAAGTAACGCGTTGCTGCCCATCTCTGGTTGTAAGCAATAAATTATTTACTGCAACTTAAAAACGTGCTGCTGTTCATATTTAACTATTCTTACTTCATTTCTTTCAGCCACAAGTCAGACATGCACCCCGGTGACTTCAAAAGGTGAGAAAGGCAGTCCGTGGATCGTGAATGAGATTGGCTGTTGGACCAGTTTTGTCAGAGAGGACAAGGCAGAGGTCCACATCTTTAAACTGAACTTTAATAACCCGGTAAGCATGTCAAAGTTATTTGAGTCTATCTAAGTTAGATATAATAATCTGTAAAAATTGTCATCAAGTTAAAAAAAAATCCAGTTTGACTGAGAGTGTTGTACACCGAGCACGTCTGAACTAAATTATTTTTATGGAAAGAAGTAATAACCTGAAAAGTAGTGGTAAAATTCAAATAAAACTTTAGGTAAACATCACAATGTAGAAAGTTCAAATGTTTCACAATCAAACTGCTGCCATCTGTCAAGCACGGCTTAGTTGTCATTTAATCCCAAATTCCCCTGTACGACAGGGATACGTTATCGTCTGCTCATTCATCATACTTCTTAGCTGATGGAATAGTATGTCAGGTGCTGTCATGCTGAAAAGGAGAAAGCTCTGCACCTATGTTCACCTCACAGTTCACAGCATTCCTAAAATGAAATGTTTCATTCCACTGAACTATCATTACACTGAGTTTAATGATGCTCATTTACTTATTTATAGAGTTATCAGATGTTATGCAATGTGGGACAGTATTAAAGCTGAGTCAGTTTTAAAAACTGACCATACCCAGTAAAAAGAAGCATGCACTGTGATTATGCACATTTAACTTTAAATATATCAGTTTTTTTGCATGATATTTTCTATGACGTATGATTTCAGCAGTATTAGAGCTAACAGCTAAATTCAATCGTAGATAGAAACAAAACACCACAAGAACTTTTGCAATCAACAGTCCAAAATTCAAAATAAATACTTGAACTAAAACTTGCACAAAATCAAAACCCCTTTTATACAGTATGTGAGTAATCACCAGTTCAACCAATCTCCACAATATGCAGAACTACACTCATCAAAAGCACCAGCTAACACCCTCCTTTCCCTTTCTTGCACCATCTCTAAACCTTGGTGTAACTAGCAAAATATCAGACAGCTTGTTGCAATTTTTGGCCTTGAAGTAAATGGAAGATTGTGTAACGGCAGAGCTAGTTTTAGGGAGGAAGCCCTCATTGTTAGCAGTTGACCTTTAGTTTCTAATCAATAGGCTTCAGCAAGATTTACAAAGCTTATAATGATGGCAGTGCAGTTATTTCTCAGTACCTTGACAAAAATTAATTCTCAGAGTTCAGCACTTTACTGATTATGTCACAGTAATTATGCAGTTTTTACTTCTTGTCTATAAATTTTTGGGCTTTTCGATGTTGTGACGGGGGCTTTCAGAGGCCAGCGCGAACGATGAATGTTCCTTATTCATTTCTAAAAATATCACTGCTACATTTGAGCATGTTCTTCTAACCAAGTGAAGCATCCAAAAAAACACCTCAGTGTTCGAACACATCGTTTGACACCGTCCCACACAGAGTGAGGTCATTAATTTTGCAAGAAATAAAACTGGCATAGGATGGAGCATATAATTTACACACTTGATATAGTTTGACAGATATGATTTTATTCAGTTTAATGTGTTCAAATTAATGAATAACAGTGTTAAAAGCACTGCATAGACCATTAAACACTCCTCTTCTTTATGTAAATTAATGACCTGTGAATAAAAAGAAAAATACATAATGACTTAATTATGAAGGAAATATGTTAAAGTATTCCTTTTTAAAAAAAATGTAAAACAGACTGTGTGCTTTCCTGTATCAGACATTATGCTGTGGTGAGGTAAATAAGTGCAGCTTCAAAAGAGTCTTATTCCTTTTAAAGGCACATTTTCAGCTGGATGGGAAAGGATGAAGGATATATTTTAGTATTCAAATTAGAAAAAGAACAGGTGTAATTGTATGAATTAATGATGGCTGAGCTCCTTTAGAATTTGGGTAATGTGCATATGTGTTCACAGTGCCTTGCCTTAAAATGGATGGATGTTATTGTTTAGTTGTCAAACCTGCGGCTTTCCTTCTGTGACAACTCATAATGTCGTTGTAACGCAGAGATGTAAAGACCTTGTATTACCGCGGAAGCACTAGCTGGTAGTCGGGCCGTACGCGTGTCTTAGTGCAGTTGAACATAATCCACAAATTCCGCTTGTAGTCGAAAAACAAACAGGCAAACGTTTATTTCCACAGTTTGAAATACAGTGATCCATTTCTGAGTAAACTAAGAGATGATTAGACCTTTATCCTATACACCTTGAGTTAGCAAAGATGCACTGCTACCTGTCTTACGTAAAGTCTTGATAAGGAACAGCTTTTGTAGGTTGGAAAATCTGTCATGTGATCTGGGATCTTACTGCTGATGTGTGTCAGGCATGAAAACAAAACTGTAGGCTAAAAAAGTCCTATGGGGGATCAATGTGTGGAACCTGGCATTTTATGAGAGACACTTAAGGCTAAAGATAATAGTGTATCTGGTATGTTTTTAAAAAAAATGCACATTTTACCGTATTTGGTCAACATTGTGCGCAGACTTTCCCTGACTCTGAATAAATAAGCTTTTAAACATCTTCCCACATTACAAAACATAAACACACTCCTTTCCCAACTTTATCAGCCTGATAACTAGCTAACCATTAACAGATGCCAGATGTGACAGAAACGCAGCTTTTTTCAACCCCTTTTAAAAGCCAGATTGTTCAATTTTGGTCTGTGTTTAAAGAATTCATTTTCCAGCTAAACAAACATATGCAGTAATTGCTGATAGGGTATTGGGATGTTTTGATTTTCAAACTTTTTGCTTCAGGGAATGTCAGTGAAAAGTAATTCTAGAAAAGTTGTAATCTATATGTTGTTATTGTACGGCCAGACTCCATTTTTCACTGTCCAACATTGTCGGTCAGCTCGCATTAGTCATTTCTTTATCAGTGTCCTTTGTTTGTTTGCTTGCTTCTGCTGTTTGTTTTCACTTAGACTATGTAGTATTTTTGCACAACTTCTGTTAAGCAAATGCTACTTATTGATCATCCCGTTTTATTTTTCACGGTATTGGTTTTTCGCCGTCATCTGGCAGAGATTATGAGAATGGAAAAGCAGATGTGTGCAGCCTCGCTAAGACATTGTCACAGGATGGTGAAATACAATCCCTGCCTGCCCATCCATCAGCTCCAGAATTAATAAAAGCCTCAAGGTCCTTTCCTTTAACCTCTCCCAGGAAAGCCATTGAGAATCCTGTCATCCTTTAGCAGAAACGTTTACCAGCAAGCTAAACTGATTCAATTTGATTTCCACTGGAAAATGTTATGATATACAAAGAATCATTAACACAAGCGTCCTTAAGAATGAAGCTTGGTTACCTCACATATGGTTTTGTGCCTTTCTTTGCTTCGAGTAATGCTGCTAACATTGTGCAAGCACATCATTGTCTTTGTCTCAAAGACACAGCTACTGCTGCAAATGTCGTCAGGTCTTTAGTCTCCTTTAATGGACTGTAAATCAGAAGAAAATGCAGTTTGATGACAAAACAGATTTAAAGCATATTAGAAAGGAAATGGTTCTCGGTCTTTTTATTAGGCCCGAAGAGTAAAATTAGGCACATTATGTTCTGTGGGAGAGGAAGAAAAGTTAATTGCGAAAAGTTCTAAGTGTAGTTTGTGGAAAGAATGGCGCAAGCTCTCTGATTTAAAAAAAAGGTGAACTCTGTTTGAGACTGGTGAGAGTTCACAAAAGGAATTTGGTCTGCGATCTGTGTGATCCACTCAACACTGTGCATAATTGGCATATCCTGGTCTCTTGATGGGACCACGAGTGGACGTTTTATCATATCAAAAAGCAAGAAAAAAGTGGACATGTGACCTCTTAACACATACCCCTTATCTGCTTTTGGCTGTCTGTTTATATAAAAAAAAGCTGTTCTTGTAAACAAAAAGAAAGGGGAACATATTCATCTTATGCCAGACTGTCCAGTCAAAAGGGAGGTTTGCTCTTGGATCCTCTTTTCTTTGTCCTCCAAATTGTCTTATCACCTTCTTCCCCATTCCTTTATTTTCATACTGATTTACAACCTGCCAGGAACAGTTGACTGTCACAGTTTGACCCCACAGAGAATTATAGAGGGAGCATCAAGGGGGTACACAGTCAGAGAGAATTCACTGGGAGGAGCCGCTTGTACAGGACTCATTGATGTCACACAGAGGCTTGGATAGTCAGGCTCTTGGCACAAGGCCGAGACGAGACCAAGAGAGCCAATTCAAGCCAAAGGAGAGAGTCAAAAGAATAACTGGAAACTGCATCAGCAAAGGCCCTTCAAAAAATGCTCTGAAGAAAAGAAAAAAAAAAACCTGAAAAGGAAAACAATTGTATCTTGAAAGCACAGGAACAAAAGCAGCAAAGGTGAGTGATCAGGGTCAGAGTTCAAAAGGAAAGAAAGAAAGTCACAAAAGGATGCAGGGAAGTTAGACAGAAAGCTCATTAGAAAGGGGTATTTAAGGAAAACACCGCCGAGAGTTATCTCTGTATGAAGCACAATGAAGTCAGGAGGAAATGTCGTTCATTCATTTGCTCTACGCACATGCAACACAACAAGTGAGGCACAAACTAAATGTTACAAAAGAACCTCAGACCTCTCCAAGGTTAGTCTGTCTTCAGGGCAATCTAGCTGTATTCTTTTTCTTTTTTTTTAAATTTAATAATATATACCGTGCACAGAAGATGGAATCAAAAATGTGATTTCCTGTGGCTCACCTTGCCACATTCACACAGTATTGCACATGTTATGCATTTATAGAGACTGACACATGGAAATCATATACAGCAGTAGCTCATATTTTATGCCCACCTTCTGCACTGTTGCAGACAACTAGCATTATACGGTATGCTAATATGTTAGCCAATTATTTTTCAACACCCTTTGCAGGATTTTTTTTGTCTGTGATTTGATCTTATAGCCCCTGTCTTATTCACTGATATCTGAGTTTCCTGTGGGCTATCACAGGAATTTTAAATTCCCCAACTTGTAGAACTGGGTCTATCTTTACATTCAAAGTGAGTGTGATGCTATTATGATGGGCAGAGCAGCATTTGAGTACTTGGATATCTAACAGCTTTAGACACTGTGTTCCAGGTTCTTGTGGTAAGTTATTATTTTCATGCCAAACCCTCTGCCTGTAGCGAACATGTTTCTTTTATAAGTAGTCCTAACCACTGATCTATTCAGATAAATTCCACTGTATCTTCACCTGGGACTGCAGTCACCCCTTTTAGACATTTTTCCTTTCAAACTGGGGACTGAAACCATTTATAAGATGCAGAAGTCATTAAGCACAAGCCTGCATGTACTAGACACCGGTTAAAGCTTGTGTCTCACTGTGTGTGTATATCAGTGATCCTTCTGTCCATAGCACTCAGCGTGCAAGGCTGTCTTTGAAATTCATCTGTGTTTGGTTTATAGGCAATTTGTCCATGGTCTCCTTAGACTTAATTTGCTCTGCTCTGTATGCGCCTGAAAATTTCCATAGCTTCAACCTGAGCTCATCACAATTCTCTTGGATCACACTCTGGCAACATCAGGTATCAAGTAAATGAATTTGATATGAGGGCGTCTTACTGTTTCCCCAGCAAGCTCATTGTCTCACTTAAAGGTTCTGTCTGAAAACAATATGCCTTCAAATACACACAATATAACAGGATAAAGCATTTGGTGTCAAGAAAAAGTTGTGAATGTTAACCTCCCATAAAAGCCTCACATTGGAGCAATACTTCCAAGTTTTCCCCCCCTTCTTCTTCTTCTTCTTTTTTAAAGCTGTTGTTCATTTCTAATGCACTGAGTCATAAAATTGAGCTGATTACAAATCCATGACTCTTTCACTTTTCTAAACCTAATTATCTTGGGTCTCTTGCGGAAGTAAAAAGACCTGGGATTCATTGGAATTAAGTCTGTCGAAAAAATAAAAAGTCTTTAAACCCAGACTTATTATTCCACATTCAAAAGGTTTACTCACCACCACTTACATCCATAAATCTCTGCAGCACCAGCTTTGCCAAACGCATATGCGAAGCATAGTAATTAAGGCTGATTCATAGTGTGACTGGGGTGGTGATTAGCAAATCACATCACCATTATGTTACTGTGGTTAAAATATAGTTAATTGGATATTACATTATGTGTTGAATTATGTTAATGGTGTTTTATATGTAATATGCCTCATAACAACCACCAAGGTTAGCCATTGTTAAGGCAGCAGGTTGTGAATGAAACGAAGTAGATAAATTAATAATAAGACTGTACATAAGTAATTCTGACTACACCTTTAGGGATAGTTTAAATACAACCAAGACACAGAGTATACATTACACAAATGCATCTAATTGCACATCTGGTAAATAATTAATTTTATAGCTTTACATGTTTTTTATGTCTCCTCCCTTGCATTGCATAGAAATGTAATAATAGAACCAAGCTACATTACCTCATAAATATCAGCGTCAGCTCAAAAGCAGGCATTTGAAGACTGTTTTCTTCTTGCCTGTTTTTGACTCTCTTCAAATGAGTGGTTGCACGTGTGTCTGGAGCGATCCACGTGTTGACATCTCATGGTTGCGAAAATAAGGAATAGTCACGTCCCCCCTGCTGAGATTTCCTCCAGCATGGAAATTAAATCAAAGTTGTGCGGTATTAAATTGGGGTTGGAACTATTTTTGTGTGCTGCAAGTAAAATATCTCCCTCCTCTGTCAACTTGAGGCCTATTAATTTAATGACAGATAGGGAAGGTTGCAAATTGGTGAGCAGCTCTACCCAAGACCTTCAAAGTTTGAATACATACAACATACTGTTGAATTGTGATTCAGTGCAAAATGACCATAATAATGTTGGTCTTTTTATTTGCTCTCTGAAGTTTCAGAACTTTTCATTCTTCATGTCACAGGTTAGAAAATGCTTAAATCGCATTTGTGATGTTTTTCATCTTAAGCCAGTGTAATAATGTTTGAATTTCAGGAAAATGTTACGTTTCAATTTTGCCCGTGCTAAAGGTTAATTCTTGTCATTTCATTACAGGATATTTTTCATTGTCTACATTAATTCATCCCCCCAAAAATGATGTAGCATAGCTGCTATGTATTCTGTTTTCCTTTCTTTTTTCATTCTGCTTTATGATAACACAATCAAAAATTATACAATGCGAGCCAGAAGCATTGCTTGAAGTGCTTTTCAAACATTTTAATGTTTTGATTTTATTTCTGTATTACGTGGCACATACACAACGTGGAAGGCTTTCCAGAAAACTTCTAATAGACAGTGCAGTAGTTCCCATATGGCTAAACATTGTGACTGAATATTTATAACACTTGATTGCTTTGTCTTTCGTATCAGTCCCAATCTTCCACCTGGAGATGCATACCACCTTCAGACATCATTTGCCTGCAACACTTTCTGAACCTGCAAACTATTTGGAAAGTTGTTAGCTTTCATATGTAAAGCAGACTTTCCACTGTAAAAATAGACGCTGCGTTTAAAACTTCAGTCTGAACTTATATGAGTAGATCTTTAAAATAACAGCTGCATTGTGTGATTTTCTATTTTTATTCTTGTAATAATTTGTGTTTTTTTTCTTTTCAGGAAAATGTCATATTTCAAATTGACTTGACCGATGCAAAGCCAATGCACCTTATCCTCACATCTGCAGAAACAGCTTATGGTTTATGCTATCTCAACAGCGAGGTTCACTTGTATGTAAGTAATGCATCTTTGTTTTTCTGTACTACCGTGCGCACATGCAGTTTTTTGCTTTTCTTTTGAATGCACATTTGGGACTGAACCTGGAAATAAAATGCCACCTTTGGCCCACTTTTATTTAACCCTGATTACACATACTGCCTCAGCTGTAACATAAGGTTGTTAAAGAGTCACTAACTAATCATAAAAAAAGATCAGGTTGTGGGGATGCCACTACAAGTAGTTAGTTTTATCCGTAATGCATGATTTTCACATGTCTCCAGATGTGCTTGTCTATCGCCAGCTGTTTTCACACACAGTCAAGCTGACACAGCTGTGCAGCTCTGTGAGTCTGTTTGGAGAGACAGTAAACTATGTTGATTTTGCAGTGTTGATTCCCCAGTGGCCCCTCTGTAGTGAAATGTTACAAAAGAGCAAGCAGTTTTGTATTTTGTGTCTTTTACCCTCCACACTATAAAATCGTAAGAGAAGTTTTAGAGAGTATCGAGGAAGGCTGATGCTGATGGCACTGGCCATAAAATTAATGTTCCAATGAAACCGGAGATTCTGACTTTTATACACTGTTCTTAGATTATGTTTGTGGACTGAACCCAGGAAGAACTTGAAACTTTTATTCCATTGTGTGCTTAAGTGATAATGTCAGGGCAAAATGCTACAGTGGTAATTAAAAACATAAACCAGGATTTAAATAGCACTGAGATGGGCAAATAAATGAGATTGCCTCTAACTAGGCTATTATTTCTAAATATGTTATTGATGAAGCTCCTCATTGCTAAATGAAAAATGTTGCAGTATCTGTACATAAGGACCCTTATCCTCATGAGAAATTGTAATAACTGTGATTAAATCAATATTAAAACCATTAGGCATCTGATGCTGTTGAGGGGTATAGAAAGTATTTGTTTTTTAAAGTCACAGTGCAGCACTGTACAACTACACAATGATTGTAGCACTTTGTGCTCCTAAAGGAAGGATGGAGGTGTTTTTCCTACCTTAGAGTAAACTGAATTTAGATTTGAAACATCCTCGGGAGGTAGAATTACACTGAACATTTAATCGTCTTTATTTCTTTCCACAAACTTTGCCAATCTAGTTTAAAACATTTTTTCGCCTGGATTGTGTCACTGTTTTTGTCTTGAGAACAATTAACATTGGATTTAAAAACAAAAAAACAAAAAAAAGGAAGAAAGAAAAAAGCAAAATCTCACTGTCCTTTTCGTGAAGTTAGTGTTTTGTATTTGTCAGATTTAAGAAGCCATGATACGCTTGAAAAACAATGAAATGTTTGGAGGAATGTCACCAATTACTGATATGCTGACAGCAGTGTGATAGCACATCCTGTATCGTGTCCTGTCGAGAGCCTAGACAACATTGCCTGTGACTGCAGGATGTTTTTGTGGGATGAGCCATATCACTGGGGGATAATAGCGCTTTACTGCAGATTGCATTGTAAGAGAATCAGCATCTGGTCAGCATCTGAGAAAGTACGTCACCAGCTTGACAGCTTGGCTCAGTGTCACAGCTCTTGTTGACCTTCCATAGCTGACCCGAATACATGTGGCGACAGCAGCGTTTTATCTGTAACGTCTTGCAGCATTTTTTAACGCTCTTACGTGACAGCTTGTTAGTTGAAAAAGCTTCTTTTTTTTTCTCTCCACCAGATTTCAAACAATTTGTAACAAACTTAACATAATTAAAATACTTATACAAACTGATAACATTTTATGGAGGAATGCCCAGCTTCTGACATGACACTATACAATTATTGCATGGAGTAACTGATGGGTAGTAGAAGAAGAAATTCCTGTAATCCTCAGCAAACAGAAAGGCTCATTTATTTCAAAAGGAAGGTTCCTTGATCATTACTGGAAGAATTTGCAATAACAAACTGATATTACTGATACTAATGTGAGTTAAATTCCGCTGTAGTCATTAAAATGATTGCCATTGTTATTTCCTTTTTTCTTTCCATCCTGCCTTTGAGGCCTTCCCTGTCTGTCGTGACTAACTTGCCTTCTTTTATTTCTGTCGTTTCCCTTCACACTATTTTTGATCGCACGTCAATCAAATATTTAGAAAGACTGATGACTCCCTCAGGCTTCCTCGGCTTTCACCAACCCCCCCCCCCCTTTCCTTGTGACGCAAAAGCTTATTTTGGTCAGATGCTATGTTATGCTAAACATCTGTTGAATGTGTTCACCTCTAGTTGAAGGACCAATTGGCATGGTAGTTGTAGTAATGTGCTGAACAGTGAAAGAAACACTGATGACCGCCCAAAACGCATAAGAGCTGTTAATTTTAGAGTGTTCATTTAAAACTTCAATTGTAAAACTTCAGATACAGCTAACTGAAATATTCAAAGCAAGGCAAAAAGTTAATGTGAAATTGAAATTAGGGGTGGGCAGTATAAACGGTATACAGTAGAAATGATATAAATTTGGCCAAAGGTAGAGATTTTGACTATACCGCTCTACCGCGATAGCGCATATTGATGGTGTCATCAAGCTGTACCTGTTTTGGTCGAAAACATTGCAGCGGCTGCAAACAACATCATCTGCAAATTATGCCGTGTCACAGTAATAGCAAAGAGATTAAGCACTTTTGGAATATGGGGAAAGCCAAAAACTGCGCTTCCTCCACATCTGTACCATTAATTCATTAATGCTGAATTCTCTCACAGCTGCTCTATTCCCATGTTGTTGCAGTATATTAATGACTAACCTCGTATTGTGGATGGATTATCTCAGTTGTTCTCCTGACTCAAGTTTGGTCCGTTTACAACACCCTTCCATGCAATTGCATTTGTCCCTAACCACCAGAAACCCTCACCTTAACTTTTATCGAGTGGAAAAAAGTTCGTCATTCAGCTTCACTGTGCTAATGTTATGCTAACATAGCTGTGTCGCTAGCGATCACATAGGACATCATTATATACCAGCTAGTCCAACTGCAGTAACCCTACAAAAGTCACTGCTGTCTTCATTTATGTTGGAAGTGATAGCAGAGCTGTACATTAAAATTTTGTCAGAAATCTCTCAGTCAGAACATGCTATACCATGTTTAGGTAGAAACTAGTGAGCTAACTTCCTGCTAACTTTTAACTTTGTTGAATTTAATAAATTCTGTTTTCATGGATCCCTGGATGTTAAACTTAATTGTTACACCTGGTAAAGCAGCAACGCCGATCATTTTATTAAAGATGAAAGAATTTAGACAGTTTTTAACTCTCAGTGATGCCACAGTGTTCGTTTGACTTTGGGACCTGAAGCTGACGTTTTGGACCCAGATTACTCCGCGAGGCTCCTGACTACAGTAGCCGTAATGCTCCAACAATCCATCAAGCAGTGCGCCTTCATAGCTTACCAAAGTCGTACTAAGTCGTACAGATTACTGCGCGCTGTGTGCTACGTAAAATTGGTTCGAAGTCAATAAGCACAACCAGAATTCATAGATAAGGGACACTGTCGATTTTTGAGAAAATTAAAGGATTTTAAGTGTGCCTTATATTGTGTAAAATACGTTATACAGAAGAAAATAATATATCGCGATATATATCGTTACTGCACATGTATGGCGTTATTTTTGTGCCACTATTCTGAGCGCATGTAAAAAAAAGTTTTATAACCTTGATATGTAAAAATGTGCTCAATAAATAACAATTAAAAAAAGAAACCATGGGCTCCAGGTTTATTTTGGGCTCTATCTTTAATGAATTTCTATCTAGGCTGAGTTGTTCTTCTCTACTTGAGTGCTCCAAGAGCTGAAGAAGAAAAAAAGTACTGCACCTCTTCAGTGCATTCAGTGCCACACAATGAATGGAGAACAGCTAATTTTGAAGAAATAGGTTTATACCAATCCAATGACATCACTGGCCAAATAAAAGAAAATGTTATTTCAATTAGGGCTAAAATCCATATCACGGTATAATGTGAATCATGTGTATGGCGTTATTTTTGTGCCACTATTCTGAGCGCAAGTAAAAACAATTTGAGCGCACGTAAAAAAAAGTTTGCAGGTGCAAGTGTTGCATTTTGAGGAGAAATTTATTTCGAGCAAAGAAAAGCTAAATTTGAGTGAACAAAATTCATTGCTGCGTGCAAAAATGTATTTCAGTGTTTGCTATTATCCACACACACACACACAATAGCAGCCCCTGTCGCTCAGTTTTTGCATTAGCGCTTGCTTGCAATGTGCTGCTTGCGCTCTCGACATTTCTGCCCATGCGCGTTCAACTCTTTCTGTGCACCGTTATATTTGTGCCACAAAGCCAGCCAATCACAGACTTGGATGCAAAAAAATCTGATTATAACCTATTTCTTCAAAATTAGCTGTTCTCCATTCATTGTGTGGCACTGAATGCACTGAAGAGGTGCAGTACTTTTTTTCTTCTTCAGCTCTTGGAGCACTCAAGTAGAGAAGAACAACTCAGCCTAGATAGAAATTCATTAAAGATTGAGCCCAAAATAAACCTGGAGCCCATGGTTTCTTTTTTTAATTGTTATTTATTGAGCACATTTTTACATATCAAGGTTATAAAAGCCTACTCTTAACAATCTTAGCAATCCCTATTCCTAAAGCCTTCCCCTACTTTCTTATTCATGCAAAACATAATATAAACTCCATTATTTCCCATTGGCCCAGACGAGGAAACAGCAGTGTCTAGTCGTTGGGATGGATGTATATATTTATACCTTGTATGGAGCCAGATTCCAGCCGACCGTGGTGACGCACAAAGCTAAAAAAGGTCCCATTTCCTGGCCCCACACAGGAAGCAAAGGAAAGACCTTGGCTCCAACAGGGTTGTGCAACTGGGCTCGTGGACACTTAACCATAATAAACATTTCTTTTTAACAGGGCCCTGCTAGGAGAATAGGGGGAAAGTTGGGTGTGGAGGGTAAGAAAAAGTATAATGAGATTGATGGCCAAATATGTTTGATCTAACCAATTCTAAGCAGACAAGAGGTAAATAAAAATACATGCAAAGCTGACTCATACAGTTCTGTGTAATCATAGCAACGGGTAGTGGACATGCCTTTTAGGACCTGATTTTGCTCTGTGCTTTCTGAAAATTGCATTAAATGAAGGTAATGAATTTGTTTTTTGTCTTTTCTCTCCAGACAAACCAAAACTCCACAATTACACTACACAATGCCAAGGAACAGAGTTTTCAGAGAAATTTCCATTTGATACAAGGTTTACCCTCCGAAGAGGAGGAGCTGATCAAATGGGCAACAGAGACGTTTGGGGGTGTGACTTCATTCACTACTCTTAGTAATGCGGATCATATCACATCAACAGGAACACAGGGTGAGAGACATTTGTGTAAAGGTGATTTTGGGTTAATTTTTATTACAATCATCTTCTAAACCATCCATTTACTTGCAAGGCATGGAAATGTGCCATACACACATTATGAAATAAAGATGAAGATCTCTCTCTCTCTCCCATATAGATATGTGTGTGTGTGTGTGTGTATATATTTTGTTTATATATATATGTGTGTGTGTGTATATATATATATATATATATATATATATATATATATATATATATATATATATGTTATATAGATACATCAGATCACAGAAGAACAGCAAAAAGGTTTCTTATCTGTCTCTAAAATTGTGTTTTGAATGAACTTTGAAACTGTGTGGGTTTTTTGTATTTAGGATATGCTATCTGCATCTGTGTTTGGTCTAAAACAGCATGTTTGGATGCTGAAGAGAACAAAGTAATTACAGTCAGCACATCATGCAGCTCCAGCTTACATAACTCAGGAGAGAGTCTGCATTATAGTAATCAAGGCTGGATGCGGTGCTGTTTCTGGTGCTCTATAGAGAGCATTCATCACTAACCTTCTTTTATCTGAAGTATGCATAAAAACACTTTCTGATGAAATAACTGCAAAAAGCAATGTGTGCACCAAAAAGCTGTTTTGAGTCGAACATTTTCATAGGCAAGATTTCTATTACTGAATGTCATCTGTGCACTGATTTCCAATGCTTTTCATACACATTTGTAGGTGGACAAGCCAGAGGAATTAAAAGCAAAACAAACAGCTGCGACAGATTTTTTAAAACATTTTATTTTGTTTTTTCTATAAAGCTGTATGCAATAAGCACAACATGTTAAAATCTTAAGTAGTTTGAGAAAATCTTGAGCTTGGCTAAAGTGTTGAGGACTAATCAACATATTTTTTTAGTGCTGACAAGATGTCATTACATATGGCAGAACATTTGGAAAGAGAAGCAATTGAGAAGTGACCATTGATGCTGAAGATGGAAGCACAAAACAACACAGATTCAAAGTGAACATTCACGGATGACTAAAAGCTGGACATTAGGAATATTATGGGATGTTACTGCCATCAGCAGTAGCAGCAGGATGCTCAGTGCAAGCACAATTATTTCCTAGCAAAGCCTCCTTAAGGCAGTCTGAGCCAACACAGAGCTCTTAGATGGATTTAAAAAGAAGTGAACAGTGGTGGGGCTGAAATAGCGACGGCTGCTTGTGCTCCATTCCTATTATAATTTTGAGTATTTTTAAGGATTTATGTTTGAATCTGTCTTCATGATTCAATGTCCTTCTCTGTGATTTCCAACATGTAATGTGTTACAGTACGAGGGAACTCAGCTTCCCTTTCAAGCAGTGCTTTCTCTCATTGAAAATGCTGTATTTAAATTGTAAGCAAAAGGATGTTTTCAGCCTGCTTAGTTTTAGCTAATGTTGTAACTGAGTCATGCTTCACAAGGGCATGATAATTACTCAAGCAGTGGAACATTTTACATTTCTATTTTGTTGTATCATTTGGCCTTGCCTGCATTGGGGTGTTAGGTGCATTTGCGTAGGCCTTGTTGTAGGTGTTTGAAAAGTCTGTGCAATGACACACAACAATATGTTGCTGAGACGGGGGCTCGCCGAGTAGCAAGAGTAGAAAATGTGTGCATGTCCTTCGGGATTCGTCAATGTCAAATTTGAAATGTGATTTCAAATTCATGTCATGCTATTGCTTTTGCAGAAGACAAGTGTTAAGCAATGATAATGAAGCTACTTTTGAATTATAGTTAGAAGAGCTACAGACAAGATTTTAAGTAATTAGAAGAAGACTGCTCCAATCCTCTGTGCAAATGGAGCAATGGCAGCCAGCTTGAATTTGACTTGGTCACAGATTGCAATAATTTGTAGCATTTAATAAAAGTGTGGGGAAAAGCAACCCTGTCCTATAGAATGAGCCATTTTTTCCCATGTGTTTTGGTTCCAAACACACATTAAGTATTCTTGGCACACACCGCTTTCCCATTAGTGTGATGATGCGGTGTCAGGAGCTGTGGGAAACGTATTTCAACCCACAATTCAGCCATAGTGTTCTAAAACTTTTGGAGCACTGTAGCAAGTTACACCTTTGAACCACCTGTGTGTATCTTCAAAACTGCTGCTGGAGTATGTTTAACAGCAGTAAATGATAGGTGTTAATGTTCCTCCCAAAGCAGGTTAGTCCTTGGTTAGAGATTAGCTCATCAGTGTCTTTCTTGAACCATTGGACGACCGATGATAGAAAGTAATTGTTTTATGGTTTTACAGGAACCAAGCCAGGCTCTCCAATCTGTACACTTGAAATTGAAGATCTCCTGGAGAAGCATTTCATGAAGATTCAATCAAATCCAATCAAATTTTGCTTCCCACAGCAGCAGGCCTCAAGTCCTGAAACTGAGCTTCATATTATAAACATCGCAGAGAATTCCAGCATTCGGTAAACCTTAATATAAAATGTTTTTTTTTTTAGCTATATTTACTGGCAAAATCTTTCTTGTGACATTTCATTTTTTATTGCAGCAATGTATCCCTGCACGTGCGTGCAAAGAAGCAGACCCGCGTGTTCATGAGGGGTCCTCAGGGCACCATGTGGACCTTCATCAATCCACAACACACTTCGTTTGCTGTAAGCATACATATTAAAGTCTCAAACTTCAAGAAGTATTTATGGCATGCACCATGTGTGAGATATTATTTATTAAGATCAAAAAGACTTCAGGTATTTAAGTTATCATGTCTACCTCTACATTGTTACTGATTTATCTTAACCTGTCCTCATTTTCTTCAGTCTAACAATGAAATAACGCTGAATCATGCCTCAGCCTCGCACAAAATACCCCCTGCGTTGACACTGACTAGTGATACTGCATCAGATGTGCAAAGGATGGCTTTGTACCATTTTAAAGTCCCTACTTTTGCCAGCTATACTGAATTGGAATTAAAAGAATCGAGGATTTCACTGGTTCTAAAGAAAAACGAGAGCCCAACAGGTAAGACAATAAAATGAAAGCATTCTTCTTGTTTTATGTTGGAAGCTTTAGCAAAAATAGAGTAGACTGAGTATTGCAAAATACAATAACCTCCCCAAAAAATACATGTTACCAAACCCAGAGACTGTACTGTATCAGTAGGATAATGACAGCAATAACAAATTAAATATTAACATTCTTGCATTTGGTGTATATATATATATATGTATATATGTATATGTGTATATATATATATATATTTTTTTTACTATGCTGTAATTTGAATGGTCATTTAAGTTCTCAGTAACAGAGCTACTCTTGTTTTTCAGAAAGAATCCAAGAACATCAACAGTGATACAGTTGTTTCATGCAAAAAAAATTTGTTGACCTATTTTAATTTAATTTCTCGCTCAGTTGCACCAAGCGTTCCGGCACCAGGCAATCCTGTTGCGACAAATTCCCCCACTCAAATCCCCATGGTGATAATGCTGTACACCTCTGCAGACTATCAGATGCCCATAGACTTTAACACCAAAATCCAGACCGACAAGAGAATTTTTGCAGAGGTAAAACTCTCTTTACCTTTTTAACTGCATTTATTCACTGCTTAAATAAGTGATAGACAATGTTTTTGTCTTTGTGGTCTTTTTTAAATTATTACAGGGATGACACCCATCACACAGTTACTGCTTTTAGTTAACTGCAGTCCGCAAACTGAATTAAATAGGATTTTTTTCTATCTAAATATAAATATTTTACAATGCAACAAAAAGGCTTACTGTTTAACATATCAGATTGTCCTTCATCCTCTAATGCACATTGAACTTATCATCTTTGTTTTGAATTATTTTCTGTTCTCTGCAGATTTCTGGAAACACTTTAGGGAGTCTAGTCTTGACTTGGAAGGTGACCAAATGTATTTTGCGATCCAAAGGCTCGTGCCTTGCAGAGAAAAACTTGCCCTTCTTTCCAGTGGACTGCCCCTCAAATTCTTGTCCTAACAGAGCTCGATTCGCCTTCTCCATAGAGCAGCTTCAGGAGCTTTCATCCACCACATGGGACATGGAATGTGATGTCAGCTTTTGTTATACTGAGGTAAGGATTTATCAACCACTTTTAATGTTTCACATCAACACAACACTTTACAGTTTTAATGTGTTTAACTCAGTCGCTCTGAATTCAGAAAATCTGCCTGTATGACAAACCTATGGACACTTTTGGGTGAGCTGTGTTTCTGCTTCTTCCCTAGCAATGTGCATATGGAGGAAAAGCCAGCAGGAATTTGGAATTTACCCAACCATGCCCAAAAACCCCAAGTGAGTTCAGTTTAAACTCCAACATGTGGATGAATTATTTTTTTTTATTTCGTTAAATTAATAAAAAATAAAGTTGCAAAAAAAAAGTCCCAATGTCCCCTTGAGTTTAAAATTAATTTTTGACAGATGAATGTTTTATATTTAACTCTCTAAGAATAAACTCTCCAAACTCTAAGCAGAAACACCAAAACTTTTAAATTACCTTTTATGCCTTCAGGACTTAATTGCTAGTCTGGTGCTTGGTCAGAGTGTTGTTGCTTGCTGCAATAATTTTCATTCCTATTATTGCTTTCAGTGCAAAACAAATGCTGCACAGGCTGTTGTCATAACAGTGGATATGCAGTGAGGCACGTAAGGGGTTGTGGGGCAGGCCCTCGTCCTTTAGGAAGGTCTGCAGACTGACCTTGTGGCCACAATCAAAAATAATGACCCTCGGGGGAGGGGGGTGAAGTCCTTTGTGTTTCCAAGGGGTTTGACTGCGCTGCTGTCCTAACATAGGCACTGAGCTTTGTGCTATTGTCAGACCAATCAACACAGTTGACTCAAACAAGAAAAGATGTCTTTCTTGAAAGAAAGTACCGTCGCCACACGTTATGATTAATTTCTAGGAAATTTCAGATGAATCAATTTCTAAACAAGAAGACACAAGGAAGCAGAAGGTGATTAAATGGAAGGACACATGAAGTGTCTTTGTAAAACTTGTAATTTGTTTGTTCATGCCTTAAGCTGCCTTTATGCTTCCTGTCCTTTTAGAGAAGAAAGATAAAGGTTTTTGTGTCAGTATTGCAGGGGAAGCTGCCTAAACTACTCATCCATGCTTCCCTGTGTCCTTCCTTGATTCTCTCTGCATTTCTTTGACTTATATGTTTAAAGAAATGTGTATTTTTTTTGGAGACCAGGGTAAATTGAGAGATCTAACTTGAAAGTAACACACTTGTTTGGTACGTCTGTTCACTTCATTAGCCAGTGTCAGACATACAAGGGTTATTGTATACTAGCAGCACTAGCAGACTGCAGTCTGCTGCAAGCCTTCACTGGGCAGGACTATGAACTCCATTCAGCAATCTTTCCTGTTTGGTAGTTTTCATACAGAGGGCTACAGGGAGTCTGAGCGCAGGCATGCTGTCTCTCTCCTCCTCTCCACCTGCACTGAAGCTTCTGCTTCCTCCTCTTGTTTATTCAGCTTCGCTGTCAAAGTCTCACTTATACAAACTAGCACACCAATTGATAATAGAAAAAAACGTCTCCAGGGAAAACCTACTTAGGTTGCTGTGATGTTTTTCACTCATTTAGGAATGTCCTTCGCTGTGAAATCAACAAACTGGGTTGACTGCCTGGAATGCAGTCAGCCCAAATGCCCACAAGATGTCACTGTGTCAGTGCTCTGGTTCACATTATATGTGAAATGACACACATAAACACACACACACCCACTGAGAATTTCTGCATTAATTTAGAGTTAAATGTGTCTTGGCCTTATGACGACTTTATGCAGACACGATTCAGCTTCACACAGATATTAGTCAAATGACCATACTGTGTTAAGTAGGATTACATTTTTGCAAAGCAAGCTCCTGCTTTCTGGTTATGTTCTGATGAGGTTTTATGTTTTGTGCATTAGTGCTTAGCATGTTCAACCCAGAGGCAGAAGGCAGCAGAAGGCAGGTGAGAAACTCATGGAAAGGTGATGATTAGTTTCCTCCTACTGCTCTGGATACTTGTGGGAAAATCTCTACAGGCAGCAGTAGAGGGGAAGGAGGGAAAGCCGGTATTTACGCAGTGGTTTTCTTGATAGATAACACAAAACATACTGCCTCTGCTCTTGTGGGGACTTCTAACAGCTCACATGGTTTGGGACAAGGTTGTTTATTTGCAGCCTTGAAAAGCTTCACTACATTCCCAGATATTGATTTTGGTGCAAATTCTGTAAACAATTTGACAGTTAATTCAGGCCAGTCAGATGGATACTGAACAAATCAAAGTTTAGATCTAAGCAATAAGTTTTTAACATTGTTTGTCATTGGAAATTTTAATACATTTAAGAACATCTGTTTATTTTCCCATCTTCAAATGAGGGTTAGAGTTTACTGTGATGTTTGAGAGAAGGGAAGAACTGTCAGTGATCTGCTGTGCAGCCTTTTTGAAAAGATGTCTTTCTCAAGGTTGTTAATTTCTAGCTTTGCCAGCCCACTAAAACTAGAGAAAAAAATTGCTAGGCTGTTACAATATGTACAGTCTGGTTGATTTGTGGGTAATGATATTTTTTGTCATTTTGCCTCTATAAACTACCACAGTGGATTTTAAATCAAACACTCAAGATATTTCCACCCTTGAGATGATCCATTAGGCTTTACTGCAGCCACCTTCAGTTGCTCCGTGTTTGTCGGTCTGCCTTCAGTTTGGTATTTAATAACTAAAGACCACGCTCTGCTGGGTTGAAGAATGTTCCGTTTCTTTGCTCGGTGAAACTCTTGCTTTCACTTTGTGTTTTAGGTCATCATCCATTTGCACTGTGAAGTGCCATCTGATCAGTTTTGCGGGGCTTGAGTGAATCTGAGTACAGCACGACACAATTCAGAATTTAGAACTGCTATCAGCAGACCCAGTTCCACTGACGGCTGTAGATGCAATAGCACGGCCTCCACAGTTTTTGACAGATGATGCGGTTCAGATCATGAGCTCTCTCTCTCGCCTTCTCCATAAATTTCTCTTCCCATCAGTTTTGTACAAGTTAATCTTAGCTTCGTCTGTCCAACGAATCCCCCCCCCCAGAACTCTGCAGGGTCTTTTTGATGTTTTCTGGCAAAGTCTAACCTTGAGTGCAACCAGTAGTTTGCACCTTATTGTAAACCGTCTGTATTGTAATTCATTCATTTTTAATTCATTGGACAATTAACTGACAAGCAGGCCAGGTGAGACCAGAGAGTGAGCAAAAATGTACAGAATGGCTTTAATACGAGGTTAGCACTTTTTGCCTCACCACAAGAATGTCCCGAGCTGGACTTCACCATCTGGCTGGGGTCTTTCTGTGTGCCTTTTGCCTTCTGGTTGCAGGGATAGGCTTGTGCAACCCTGATAAGCATAAGAGAATGGATGGATTCACACAGTCAATGCAATACTTTTGTTAAACCCCTTTGAATTAAAGCCGAAATTCTTCTCTTCAATCACATTTAAATTTAATTGATTTTTTTTTAAGTTTAAAAATCCATTGTGGTAGTGTACAGAAAGATTTTCATTTTCCAAGTATGCTGGACGTCTGATGTGCCCCGGTACATATTCATTCAGAGCTGCTTTGAGGGAAAGTATTTTATTTTTATAACTACTGGTTCAAGGTTATAGGTTATCTAATATATTTTGTTAGCCAAAAAGTCTCTTGTGTAGTGGAAGCCAGCTCATGGCATGCTCAGAAAACTTTAGAAATTGCAAAGTTGGTTATTAATCGTATGTTCGTATGGCTACATTGGAACAGGACAAATTCAATTTTCTTTAAAAAAAATTCTGACTCACCCAAAACATTGGCTGTAGTTTTGGGAGGTGATAAACAGCACTGTATGTAAGCTCTATTGATTTCCAGAAGGTGTTTTAGTAGATGCATAGATAGTCTGCCAGCTTCAGGAGTGGATGGAAAGAATTATGGCAATTATCATTAAGTCCAATGTGGAGCAACTCTGGCGTGCATTAAGGTTAAGTAGCACTTAATTTTGAAACACAGAGGCTGTTTTGGATATAGATGGCACGATTATTATTGTTAATATAGTACTTTATGTTGAGGCATGAACTATTGGCAAGTCATGGAAAAATGTCCAGTGTATTGAATGTCTGTCAGATTATGGGTTTGAAATTTGGTGGTTTCATAGAGATGTAAATTATAACTGTGTACATTGCAGAACTAGCCTCTCATTTCAGGGAGTTCATAAACTTTAACTAGTTTTTTTCTATTACAGAGGATATGGAATAGTAACTTTTAAGCATCACACATAAATGTACGAACAGCAGCTTACTAGAACATATAATAGAGATGCTCTCTAAGGACACACATGGGTTAGTTGGGGTGAATTCTTTATTGAACCAAGAAGATTACATTGTAGTCATCGTGATTCACAGTGCAGATTTAGGACAAACCCAAATTAAGAACATATTTTCAGATGGAAAATCAGTTAAAGTGGTCAAAAAATCTCTGTGTGCAGAGTTCAGTTCAGTTACATAAAAAATACCAAGTACATTGGTCTTCCTGAAAAGAAAACACTTGCTATGTGGCTATGTGATTTTGGTTTTGGTTAGAGTGAATAGATAGAATCTGTGTTTGTGTTGTAATAGAGATAATCTAATCTACATATTCTACTTGTGTGCATTATATAATGTACCTATTGCATGGCTGATTTTATTTGGTATAGAGGAAACAATTCTGTCTGTGTACTACCAAACCTTTACAATGTGAAGATGCAATGTTATTAAAAGGACACACCATAGCTTGTAAGAAGAACATGTATTTTATGCCACCATATAAATTGTTGTATATCACATGCTTTTGATTGATTGTCCAGTGTAGTCCTGCTGGAGCACAACAAATAGGACTTTTCAGTGGTTCTTTGGAGAAATTATTATATTTTATTATTATATTATATATTATATTCAAGCTGCATTACAATATAAAAGGAGGATTTTGGGTTTCCAAAGATTTTTTAAATCGTGTTCGATTGAACGTAATTGTAGTTGTAGCAGTTGTAGTAAATCTTTTTCTTTCTTTTTTTTTTTTTAAATTTAAGCTTGCATACATTGTTTTTGCATGTCTGCTTTTCAGCCCAACCATGCATTAACGGCCTGTCTGGAGTTCTGGGTATTGCCTTTGGAGGGTTCCTGATTGGGGTATTACTTGTTGGAGCGCTGTGGTTTATCAAAATCAAAACAGGTAAATTGATGAGTGAGGACAGAATGTTTGGACTCCAGAATAGATCTGAATTGACGTATGTCTGAATTTGAAATTGTCCAATTCTCCTTAATTCAGGGTACCCAACTGGACTGGAGATGAATTCAACTGTAGTCAATATTCCTGGTAAGGACTCTTATTTTTTAATAATTCTTTTTTATTTTTAGCAGGTTCTTATTGACTTGTTTTTCCTTTCCACAGGATGTCCTTGCTCAGGAGCAAAGCGACAACCTGTTTCTACCAACCCATCCCCCTCTGAGAACAGCAGTGCCAATGCTAGCATTGGAAGCACCCAGAGCACACCTACCAGCAGCATGGCTTGAGAATGTGGTATTTTCACCCAGCAGGGCCACCATCCTCCTTCAAATTTACCTATACGGGTTTTGTGCTTCTTCTTTTTTTTTTTAAATCGGTGCCTGAAAAGCATTTGTTACATTCCTACTTCTTTAGATTCTCCTTTAAAAAGCACAACACATATCTTTGGCATAACACCTCTGAAACGGATGTGATCTGGGAGCTTGTAATTGGCGGTGGGGAGGGCTAAGCGATGGTAACCAAAGTTTAATCAATGGCTTCTGACGTTCACCTCTGCTACTTCTCTGTAAAGTCAAGCTCTAAGACAGGAAGTTAAAGAGGGCAAAAGAAAAAAAATAAATTGGCTTGCAGCAACAGGAAAAACAAACCATATCCCCACAAGAGCTAACAGGAAATTCACTGCATTCCTTCCAATGAATATGTGCTTGTGTGATGGCAGCACAATAATAGTCAGACAGGAGACAAAACCAGTCAAAAGACATACTTTAAACAGATGAAAAGCTGTTGTGCGCTCACATCAAGCTACAAAAATATGAGGGGCTGTTTGCTAGGTCAGTCTAGTCAGCAGCATTTTGCGGACTGAAAAGATCAACGTGTTTGGATCTCAGACAAGTCAACAAAATGCTTATTTCAGTGGCTATTTTTCTTAAATAAAGTTTAAGGTTAATGATTAACAGCTACCTCTTATTATTTAGTCTAGACCTAAGTTTAAACTTAGATATCTGTAGTGAATTTCATTTTCTTTCTTTCTTTCTTTTTTTATAAATTCTGTGTCACTTTAGGTGAATCTTAAAATGACTGTTTCGGTCATATGTAGCCTATGAAACAAAGTTATGGTGCCATTTTCCTGCTATTAATAGATGAATCAAAGCTGCTGTACTAATGTGTTTTGGAAGATATATTTACTAATTGCTCAAGAAGTACAATCAAAGTTATCATTTATGGCTCACAGGTTGCAATTAATACTGAATCATTAAGACGTCAGTACCTTTAGTTGTCCAAAGTGTCACATGTAGAGACGTATGGCTGTATTCAGAACTGAATAGTATGGCTGTAATTAGGCGTTAGTTCTAAAACACTACAATATCCGTTCTAATGAGAGTCATCAATCACCACGGCCTGACAATTTGCTGTACTTTTTTCACAACAACATTTTAAATTACATTTTGGTGTTTTCAGGGTAGTGTAATCATCACCCAGTAGAATTAAGTGCACTGTTTATAGTGTTAACAGTATATTGTACTTACATTTGAATACTTGACATGAAGACCAGCTGACCTTCTTATATTCAGTGTCATTTGATTCAAAATGTAGGCAGTAATTTTCTGCACTATTTTTTGATTGGAGATGAGTGCACAGGGTGTGAAAGGACTTTTGTCATTAAACTGATGCTGTGGATCACGAATGCATCAGAGATTTTGCATTAAAGAAAAAAAACAGCTATTGTTACCCATGCCATGACCTTGCTTTAGGTGGGAAGTACAGGCTCAATGAAAAGGTGATAATTTTTTAAAATAATAAATATAAGTGCTAATGTAATACATTAAATGTTTTGTTTTTTTAATGTGAAAAAAAAAAGAATCCAGTTTAAGGCAAATGTTTGCTTTAAATGAGATGGCTGTGCACGAATGTGCCCACGTGTATGTAAATTTGCCCCTGAAAACAGCTCCCCCCACTTATCCTTTGACCTTTAACTTTTTAACTTTAACGGCCTACTTAAATCAGCTCTGAACACAGCCCATTGTGACTCTGCAGTATCAATTGCAACTGTACTGTACGACCATATTCTGAATGTATGTTTATGTATTAAAATTTGAATTCAGCTCCATGCATACTATTATAAAAATTAAAATCTTTTTTTTTTCATTTGTCACATGACCTGTGTAAAGATATGGAAGCTGTCATTTGCAAGAAATTAGTTTGTGGTTATCAATATTAACTTCTGCTTTCCACATTTAATAGGCTGCATCAGCCACTGCCTGGCTAATGTTAGACTTATGCTGCATATTTGCATGATGAGGATGTTAAGGGGGGGGGGGTCTACAACTGTAAAGTGACGGTTGATCCGTGAACCCACTTTTTTATTTTAATGTACAAATGTAAATGAGTTTAGTATTTTATTGCCACTCTTTTACCTCTAAAATATTGCCATCGCACATCAACTCTAGGGTAGGTAAGCAAATAAATACCGGTAATTTAGCATTTACAGTACATTGCATCAACACAAGTAGTAAAACTGTGATATGTCAAACTTTATGATGACAAACACTCTCTCACACACACATATATATGATGTATATATAAAAAGTACACCCTTACTGTTTACTCAGGAATTAAGAGCGGAAGTAGCAGCCAGATTGCTGCTAGTCAAATGCACTTGATTAACTGACCATCAGTAAGTGTGACCACCTCTGTAAAAGCAGTAGTTCTGGCGATTTGGTCAGCAATCAGCTTTGTTTTAAAATGCCACTGTTTTCCAGTAAATTCACAGCAAAGTGAGAGAGATCGCACAAAAACTAAACATCGGTAACTCTTCAGGCCTCACTTAGCATGTTACAATTCATGAAGATACAACTAGAAGAAGACTGAACTAAAATAGCATGTCACGAGAAAGCCTCTTTACTAAAAAGAACTGGGCGAGAGGTATAACGTTTGCTTTTCTTACATCTGAGCAAACCACAAGACTTTGGAAAAACTAAACTGAGTATATCAGCAGAAATACCTCCTAACAACTGTCAAGCATGGTGGTGGACGGGTTATGATTTGGGCTTGTTTTTTAATCACAGGACCTGTGCACCTTGCAGTCATTAGATCAAGCATGATCTCCTCTTTTTACCAAAGCATTTTATTTAGTTTAGAAGTTGGGTTATGTTATGCAGCAGTACAAGCTCATCAGCAAATCTACAGCAGTGCAGCTGAAAAGAGAAGATTACTACATGTTATAGTGCTAAGGGTTGTTCTTCAAGCTTTGAAACATGAAGCGTGCCTAGTTTCTCAGAGGATACACAGTGTATATATATATATATATATATATATATATATGTCTGTGTGTGTGTGTGTGTAGACCTAGGAATTATTTAAATTCAAATGAGAAATGCTTATCCTCCTTCTCCTTCTGGTTTGCTATAAGAATTTGTTCACCTTTAATTATGATCTTAAAAATGTTCCAAACCACCAACATTGTAAAATGTCTTTTCTTTGTATGTGAGCAATGTAGCAGAACCACATTTTCTCTCTTACTCAGTGTGTCTGCATGTACATTTTCCAGTGCATGCCTGATTTTCTTTGTATATTTTTTGTAGACAAAGAGGGCCAGTACAAACTGTCACTTGAGTATTTGTGCAATATAATGAGGTAAACCTGTATGTAATGTCTATATGTCATTTTTATCCTTTTTTTTGTAAGTTTTGTATGATAATCTTACATTGAATGATTTTTTAACCTGACTTGTTCTTTTATGTATTTAATTTACTGGGACAATTCATAATCATGGCACGTATAAAATGCACATTGATTCTGTATAGCAATTGTTTTTGAATCTCATATAGGTTTTTATTCTGTAATCACAGACAGTGCGTGTCACATCACGTCACAGTACATATGGTTTATTGATTTTAGCCCTGTTACACTTTTGCCCTCACCCTAAGGGTCCCGTGCTGTCCAAAAACACAAGATATCTCTGCAAACTTGACATCCTGACATTGTGTTGTATTCATTGTACTATCTTCACTGGGTGTGAGGGGGAAGTGCATTCTGGATTCTGAAGACAGGATGTCTCACTAAACAGTAGCATCACAGTTAAATATTCAGCACTGACAGTTACCAGGATACATTCGCACCAAAAATAGTCAAAACGCAGCTATTATTACAAACTTTTTTTTCATTAGATTTGTGGAAGCGTTTGCAGCATGAGACTTTTTTTCTATAATAACTATCCTGCACCTGCGTTAAACCAGCCCCAGTAACTGTCTAAGCACTGACAGTAGAATCAGACAGGTTGTCAGTTAATTCAGTGTTAACCCTGCAGATCCCTTCGTTACCTCTCACAAAAGCTCTCACTTCCACAGATGCTCTACACAGTTAATGAAATATGTGCGCATATACACAGTATGCGTGGTCTGTGTGTGTGCGCGGGTGTGTCGTTACAATAGGAACTACAGCTACATTTATGCGATTGGATTCTTACCTGTATTCCTACCAAACAGTCGGAAATTGTAACAATGTGTCAAAACGTCTGCTTTTATTTTATCAAGTATAAGATGCAGTGTTATTTTTGTTCTGGAGTTGGCAGCCTTTTACTGTTTAAAATGAGTCCATTTGTTGAGACAGTATTCAACTCATGCCGTGTACTTCTGTGTTGTCTCAGAGAAATATATGTTTTGTCAAAATTATCTTAATAAACTCCATTTGAAAAAATTTCCCTGTGTTTTCTGCTGTGTTTCTTAGGCCTTTATGTTACGCTAGCTGGTAGACCTTGGAAACAGCAAACTCCCAGGACACGACAGATCTCCCAGGATAAGCAATATCAGAGAGCAGTAATATAGCACACTTTGTAGAGCATTGATGTGGAATAAAGAACCAGATTTACCGCACCGTCTCAAATGTATTCATAGCACAAATGAAAAATGCAAAGGAACAACAAAGAGTACAGTGTTTTTAAGCCATATTTGCCCACCATAAAAATGAAGATTTATTTGACTGATTTTTTTTTTCTGTGACAACTACTTTGGCATTCTCTTGCTTGCGGTCAAGTGAGAGCTTCTCTTGACTGCTGTGTTTTTGATTAGACAGCAAATCCATATGAGTATGGTGCAGAGAGTTTATACTAATAGATACATTAGATACACACTTGCGGTTACTTATCAACCCATATGGACATACTCTATATGGTTTTGGCATATTACAGAAACGTTAAACCTTGTATGATATTAGTTTTTCACTTAACTTACAAACGTCTCCATTACTTGAAATGAATACATCCACCAAGGAGGTTGTCTTTTTGGTAGCGTTTGTGTGAGTGTCTGTAAACATGATGCATCCACCAAGGCCTTAAAGGTGAACTTAATGATTTATTGGTTGAAATTTAAAAAAAAAGAGCCATATAACTGTGATTGCTACAAGTTTAGTGTGTATTGTCAACATATAGAAAGTACTGTGTAAGATATCATCGTACATTTGAAATGTAATCTTTCGTTCAAGGTCAATAGATTGATCTGAAGTGATAATAATGAAGCTATTTATTAAAACTATGTTTGCTGCCATTGCATGTATTGACATGAATTATTTATATTTAGGCCATATAGGGAAAGCTATATAGGGATTCTAAATATCACACCACTTTAAACCGCTGACATCTTCTTCAACATGTCAGCTGTTCAAGGTCAAATAAGGTCAAACTTTCATGTGTTTTATCTTTAAAACTATGATTGAAATTCTACTGCCTCTGTTTGTACTGGCAACACGTAGGAAATGATACTGGTACATGGGAATATTAAATATTACATTGTAATTTGCACCCAAATGTCATGTCATATTTGACCTCTGATCTCACTTTTACATTTTACATCTGCATTTCTTGTAAGTTGACCCCAAAATGTGTATTGCCAAATTTATTCACCTGTACTGTCAAGGGACAGCAAATGAATCCATATTTAAAAACAAAATTGTAGTCAAAATTTTGTCAAGTATATCAAAATGGATTTCAACTGGGCAAATATTAAAAACCTGGACTTTGCACTTGTTTTTACTGCACTCCAAACTTCATAAAGTATGTTTAAAAACAAAGAAAATAAAATGAATTTATGCAAAATACAATAGTATTCCATTAAAAGTAGATACTGGCCAGAGATTAAGGTTTGCACTCTCTTCTTGTTTCGTATGTGTTCAACAGTATCCCTGTTAGAATTTAGCTTTATGGCTAAACAAAAAAAGTGTAGTAGTACAGCTAAGTTTGTCACTTACAAAGTATTTGCAGCTGTAACATACTGTAAATAAAAGTTCAATGTTTAGCTCTAAAGTGCAATGAGATACATTCATAAAGTTGTGTAAGACATGCCTGGGTTAATGCATTTTCACCACCAGTATCGAGTAGTCAGTTTTTCAGATTTTATTATTCTGACTCAGAAAAAAGTTTGACTCATGAATGACTGAATTCAAAACACACTCTAATGACCTTGTGAGTCATATATAACCCTTTTTGTTGGGGAATATAAATGAAAAAAATGTTTTTCTGCTGTAGTCATTCTTTAGGCTCCAACTCTTCCTTTTAATACACAAGTTCAATCAGTATTTTCAGGACTGCAGCCAAGGCACACAATCCATGTTTATGGACAGCATTCATCTCCAAATGTGACCATGAAACCATTTGGCCTTGCACAGGATACATTTCGTGATGTATCCGTCTGTGTGCGTGCCTGTTCTTTCTGCAAAACTGTGCCTGGTGAAATGTGTTATCCATGCATAAAGCTCGCAACAATAGCCTCGGGGTAAAAACAGTTGTCAGCTCTTTTCTATAGAATTAAGGTGTGAATGTGTAAGAGAGAAAGATTTTTCTTTTCTCTTGACAACATCATGCACTCCGTGTGTTTATATGTAAATAAAGAGACAGATGTCAGTCTTGTATGGAGCTGTGGGCTCTGAGGATATATTTCAAGAAGTAGAAGGAAAGAAAAGCCATTGTTGCCAAGGAGTTGCTTCCCAACGATATACATCATAGCGTGTTGCTAGGCTCTCAAGGGCAGCAGAGTCGGTAACACATTAGTGTTCAGCAATAGACCATTAGAAAAACAATTTCTTGTTCAGTCAGCTCAGATGAGTATAATAAGTAATGTACTGCAGACAGTAGTTGTTAAATATATTGGTTTTAGCCTTAACTTTTAGCCTTTCCTATTGTTAAAAAAAAGTTAATTAAGATCACCGTGCAAGCTGAAATATAGAAAATTAGCACACAGTATGGGAGCACATTACTTTTAGGATTATTAACTAGTATATCGTGTTTAGACCACATTCTCTGTATATTAATAGAACCTTTACATTTATATTTTAAAAAAAAAGTAAAATATATTAATGACACAAATGTGCTAAGCAGTAGACAAACAGAAAACATTACCTCTGATCCGCTGCCATCTGTTTTGTAAGAACTGCTTAGAGTGCATTTAATAGATGGTAAAAGCACAGGGAGAGAAAGGAAAAGACTGGAAATAGAAAGGTAATCATGGGAGCTGTGCCAGTGTGTATTTGCTGCGAGGAAAACGGACGCAAAGGAATGATATCATTAAATTAGAAAACAAAATCAACCTCATACACAGAAGAAAGAAGGAAACAACATTAATAATAAATATGCAATATATATAATACGGCATTATGAATAATAACCCATATTGTAATGTAATGTAATGTAAATGTATGTTTGGATCTCCATTATGTTTTTGGGCTTCATTTACATTTACATTATTAATATATAAAGCATTTAATAAGCTGAAAAATGTAACATTCACAATCTACTCAAAAAAGTAAGTAAGAATGGGAGAAACTGGTGCAGTAGGAGTTTACCGGTGACTCTAATTTCATGGTCTTGTTCAGTCGTATGTCCCCGAGCACCACCTTAGTACTCAATAAACCCAATTGTGTAGAGGTGACCATCGACTATGATGAAATTAAAAAGATAAACTATCCCAGTATAGATGTCATTATACTGTTAAATATTCCTTTAACACCACATAATGAGTGGCTGCGGGGAAACATACCATTCCATTTAATTACCCTGATGAATGGATTACTGCTGGCCACCACCAGATGGTGCAACAATTTGTATTTTTCTCTGAATGCACAGATTGCATGGCCTGTCAAAAGAAGAAGACGATGAGCCTTCACTGGAATCAAAGTACCAAACAAATTTGCAGAGAAACACTTAAATGAAATCAATAACAAAGCAAAAGAGAAATTCAGTGTAAAAGGCTGACATGAAGCCTTATAGCCATGTTGAATTCAGGAAGCTACAACAGAGGCAACTGGAGCTGCCCAGAGTAAGGCGGCTCTCCGTCAGACTTTCACACCCTGAGGCGCTGTGCTGCACACAAGGTTGTTTACACTTTTCAAGCCTGTGTACAGGCTCAGCCTCTCACCTCATCTCTCACCCACACATCACTCTCTCACAGGCGCCCGTGTACTTGCCCACACCTCACTGAGTATCTACTGCCTGGTCCGGGGTAATCCTCTAACTTAAAGGCAGTACAGTCTGCTAGAAGCAAATTGTATTCCTTCAAAATGCAGACACCTCTGAGCTGATGTTTGGATAAAACACCTCAGAGGTGTACAGCAACACTTTCCCTTCCTTCAGTCTTTGCTCATCTTGCTCACCTACATGCAAACAGTTATTGGAAATGTGACATTTAATAGAAATATCCCGGCTAGTATCATATTACTCCTGTAATTAAAAAGAAAAAGATTTTTTTCAAGGCATACATTCTCTTAAAACATAGTATTTAATAGGTGAGGTGCTTCTAACAATAAGCAGCGTAACTTACATTTGTAATTTGTTGCATTTACACACAAACAGGTCGACATATAAGAAAAGTGAATGTTGTGAGCATTATTATTTTCTTCTAACAGTGCTCGGATTGAAATAGTGCAAAATAAAAGCCAATATAGATGCAGACCCTGTAAGCTCATACATTTCTCTAAATTTTAAAAGACATACTGTTCTACTTCCTAACATATAGCACATCTCAGTCCAGGTGCCGCTAGTGTGTGAATGTATTTTCCTGATAGGTGAAGGGAAACCTAGTCTGCAGATGGTAGGTCATGTCAATCCAGCCATTCATCCAACTTGTTATTTTTCAGACCTGCTAGGAGAAGTAACCCACAGCCTCTCCATACCAGTGTGTCCTCAAAGTTCCACAGTTGTATCCTCAGATGTGCTAAGAACAGCTGCAAAGTGCTGCCCCTGGAGATCATCAAGGTTCAACAGTTTTAACAGGATGGTCCACAACAGTTCCCTCTGCTGGAGAAAACTTTTACCCCGACAAACCCTTAGTGGTCTCCTCATCTAAAATTGCCTGGTTGTCGCCAGCTGAATTCT